AAATGGGTGGGGGGGGGGGGGGGCTGACGCAGGCGCGCAGGGAAACCGCAGGGCAGGGCCTGCGCCTCCTTCTCATCACGTACATGGTGGGGTTTACCCCTTTCCTCTTAGCAATTCGGAAATAAGGCCTGGATTTTAGAGCTGAAAGTCCTGTCCAAAAATTTTCTCATGATAAAATTTTTTTTCAACTGCAAACCTAAGCACTGCAGACAGGAGGTGTTGCTGCATAACCTACGGATGCGGAGCCCTATTATTGTAGGTATCTTTCTGCAATGAGCCTCTAGTATATATATAAAAGCCTAAGTGACCATTACAACCAGCTGGTAGCTATGACGCGCACTGACCACCAGGGGGAAGATGCTCAACACAGGAGCTGCCCGCTGGTGGTTAGTGCACGTGGGGAGGACAGGGAGTCAATGGGGAGGGCACCTGTAATACTTTCAACAATAAAGATAAATTCAAAACAAACAACAAAAACAAGTAGGAGCTACTGTTACTGCTAAAACCGACCAACACAGGAAAAGACTTAACGCTTTTTCTCGTGTGGGATCATCCAACTGAAAAGTAAGGCTGAGGTCACACGTCCCCGGCAAAAGCCACACGTCGTCGGCAGGACTGGCAGGAACTGCCAGCCCCACCGATACTCGATCAGCTCCAGCAGGTTCTTCCGCAGCTTCTCCTTGTTCCTCGTGACTTCCCTCAGCTCCACCTCCAGCTTCTGCAGCTGCTCCTGCAACGGAACCGCAGCTGCTCAGCACCCGCCCCGGCGCCCCAGCGGCGCCCCAGCTCCTTCTGCGACACCCACCGTGGAGCTTTTAAAAAGCCAGAGTCTAGCCAGGCCAGGGGATGATGCTGCCCGCTGAGCCACACCAGCCAGGTCGCCTATGGCCATCTGGGGCAGTGTCCTCTCTGAGCCACACCAGCCAGGTCGCCTATGGCCATCAGGGGTGAGCGTCCTCTCTGAGCCACACGGGCCAGGTCGCCTATCTGGGGTGAGCGCCCTCTGGCTCTGAGAGGATGGGCAGGTGACCAGACAGCAGACAGCGAGGAGGTACAGCCCTGAGGGCGGCGCGTTACCTGCATTTCCAGGACCTGCTTCAGAGGCGGGGCAGGGGGGCTGGTCTCGCCCTCGGGGAGCGGGATGTCAGCTCTTTGAATCTCCTGCACCAGGTATGCTGCGGAACCAACGAGGAGAGGAGCGGGTGAGGCTGCACACCGCGCAGGTCCCAACACTTCACATCCCCCCTTCCCGCGTGTCTGACAATCCACGTCTGGTTCCCACGGACTCAGAGGCCACCCGCGATGGCGCTGCCTGGACAGCAGCAGGTGGGACGACAGGGTGACCCGTCAGTTGATGGGTGTAAGCCCTGAGGCTACAGATGAAAAGACGCCAGTGCGGCTGTGACCGAACCTCCATGAGGGGCCGGCCCCTGGGCAGGGAGGGGACAGGCACTTCCTTCTCTTCTTCCTACTCATCTCTAGCTGCTGACTGCTCTGAAGGGAGCAGGGTGCTTGTGGGGAAGGGCTGTTCGGGTTATTCTCATACACTCACCCAGGATCCGCTCCAGCTCTTCACACCGCTTCACCTCACCCACAAATTTCCTTTGGAAAGAACTTACATTCTGGTTGAGCTGAGAAGAGAACCAAAAATGTTCTTTCAACACCTAAAGTTTAACAATGAATTTGACGTTAAAATATCATTGGCAAGGGTTTGGGGAACAGCGCACCCTTGGGGAGTACTGAGTGGGCGCGCTCGGCCACAGCTGTTCGGAAAGCGTTGGCAGCTGTTACCAGAAACCCCTGAAAAATGCCCTTCGGCCCGGAAACAGCCCATGGAGAAATGTAACCTCAGCCCAAACCGTGGATCTGGACAAAGACTTCTCTAGAAGACACCCACCCGGGATACGGAGACGGCATTCACATGGAAAACTGATGAAAGGATTAGAGTCCGCCCACCCGTGGAGTACGACTCAGCAAGGAGCAGGGACAAGCTGCTGACACATGAAACGTCACGGAGGACTCTGGGGGTGACAGGACACAAAGGGCACACACTGTGCGACCCCATTCCTATGAAATGTCCAGAGAGGGCAATCCGCAGGGCGGGAGGCAGACGCGTGACGGGGGCTGAGTGCGGCAGCGGGAAGGGGCTCCCCTCCTGGCGTGGGACGCCTGAAACTGGCCTCGGCACACTTCCTAAAAGGCAGTGAACGCGCTCGAAATGAGTGGATTTCATGACACACGTCAACAAAGTTGTACAAAGTTATGACTTAGTCATGTGACTTCTGCACTTAAAATGGTGTTTGAAGTGACTACGGCATTTGATTATAGTAAGGAATTATTAAAGAGCTTGGGTAAAATGATGACACTGTGGTTACGATTTTTAAATGTCCTTGCCTCCCGGGACCCCTCGCACGGACTCCGGCCGGGCCACGGCTCTCCTGTCTCCGTCTCAAGCCCAGCATCACAGTCGCAGCAGGAAAGAGACGAGACGCGCACGCGATTTTCTGGAAGGACTTTGGCAAAGGGACTGTGGACGGGTGTGAGAGCAGGGGCCGACCACGGAGGTGGCACCGGAAGCAGACCATCCAAGGTCTCAAGGGGGTGGGGCCACGTGAACAAGGGGGCAGGACCACGTGGACAACCGGAAGTGAGCACGTGGACGAGGGAGTGGGGCCACATGATCACTCGAGAGTGGGCACGTGAGGACGGAGGAGGGGCCATGTGAAGATTGAAGGGATGTGGCCAGGAGCCCCCAGAAGCTGTGAGGAGGCAGGAAGGACCCTCCTCTGGAACCTCCCAGGGAGCACAACCCCAGACACCCTGACTTCAGGTTCTGGCCCCAGCACGGGGAGAGCACGTGTTCCTGTGGGTTGAGACCAGAAGGCCTGGGAGGAGGGGGAGAGGAGAGGGCGTGTGGAAGGGGGCAGCGTGGAGGGGGTCAATGGGAGGAAAAGGGGGACATCTGTAGTACTTTCAACAGTAAAGATAATTTTTTTAAAAAAAACCACAGCCCAGCCAGTGTAGCTCAGTGGCTGAACGCCGACCTACAAACTAGGAGGTCAGGTTCGGTTTCCGCTCACAGGGAACGGCATTGGGGCAAGAATTCCTGCATCTGTAGCGGACACTCAAGAAAACAATCAGACAACAGCTTGGCATGAGCTGCTCCAGCACGAGTCTCTACCCCAAGGTTCGGTTCTTGTTCAGCATGGTGAGTTATTTTTTTAAAGAATTACCCACAAGGAAGGCAACTTCTCATGCCACCTGTCAGCTCCCACACATTCCTGGACTCACGCTGACCTGACGCAGCTCTCCAGCTCCTGGGGACTCGGACATGGTCTTCCCGACGGAACTAGTGTCACGGGGGAGCCAGGCGCCCAGGCCTCTGCCAACCACCCGCTTCTCAGCTGCAGGTTTCCCTCCTCACATCAAACCCAACCCTCACCGGACCCTGTGGCTCTGCAGACCGACCTCGGGAAGAGGCCAGTGTCTGTCCCTGACACAGATCAGGCTGGCCGTCCCGTCATCACCGTCTCACAGGTAGTCACTGTGTGTTTCCCGTTACGTGGGTTCTTCTACAAAGTTTCACTTCTCTCTTCTTTACAGGGAGGCAACATTACCCTCATTCCGGACCAGTGATATGAAGACCTTGTGAACGTGGATTCACTGGAAGACTAACATTTAACCTCAGAAAACCGGCAGAGGGCCCGGCCGGCCTGTCGACCTAGGAACCAGGAGGTCAGGGTTCGATTCCCGGTCAGAGCACAGGCCCAGTTTTCAGGCTCCATCCCCAACGGGAGACATACAGGAGGGCAGTCGATCGGTGATTCTAACATCGGTGCTTCTCTCTCTCTCTCTATCCCTTACCCTTCCTCTCTCTCGAAAATTAATAAAAACCTATTTAAAAAAACAAACCTGGCAGGGGCTCCCTGGTGCTCTTTTTACTCATCTCCACTCCACCTTTTACTCTTTCATCTCCAGGTGAAAACTGTTCTGAGCTGGGACTGTGACAAAGGGCTGCTCGGGGCTTCCCTGAGCCCTCAGGTTAAATCACTTTGCTTTCATCCAGGCCTTCGCATTGCTGTCACCACGGAAACCCAGGCCCCGCCTCCTGCCCTCAGAAGGGCTATTGAATGAAAAGGGGAAAATTGTTCAGCTGCAAGCCCGAGACCAAGGCAGAGGTCAGGGGTCCCATCTGGTGAACCCGATGTCAGGAAGAAACCCCAGAACAGAGCAGGGGAACATCAGCCGCGATGGAACTTCCTGCACTGGCATCCAAGCTGCCTGACAGCCGACCGGACACACACACACACCCAGCTCGGAAAACCTGCCCCACACCGGGAAGAGCTGCTTTTGGTCCGGTTTCCTTCTGGGGGAGGATGAGCGCACTTGCGCTTCCTCCCGCCGAGTGTCAGGCTGTAATGACACTCCGTGAAACGCGAAATCTCAGAGGCGACTTGGGTATTTGTTCAAGCCTCTGAGACTGGAGCCGGGCACGCCCCGGGGCCCGAGGACTCACAGGATGGAGCACATCCACCGGGTCAGCCCAGCACCCGCCAGGTAAGTGGGTCCCGGGTGCTGGCGCCCGAGTGGCCCCCGGAACCCCGAAGAGAGCCGGGCCTGCCCTGCAGCCTCAGGTCACTCGGGGTTCTCTCCCCAACGGCATCAGCACGCGGTAGGGGTGCTCCCTTTGGAAATGAAGGGGAAGCCGCCAGGGGAGGAAGGCTGTCGCCCAGGAAATAAAACCTCCACGTCCGTGACTTCCCGTCCCAACAGCACAGCTCCGTCCTGCTTCCCAACCTCCCTTCCACACCCTGTCCTCCCCGTCACCCTCTGTAATCGGTGTGTTTGTCCGGCTCCTCCCAGGCTGTGAGCCACAACACAAGGACCTTGTCCTCCTGGCTGGCCACCCAGTCGGTCCCAGCACCCAAGGCGGCATCTGGAACAGAGCACACATTCCATACAGGCGTGCCCGGTCGCTCCACAAACGCCCTTTAGTGCCACCAACCAGGGGCTGTTCCCAGTCTTGGGGAATCAGGAGTGGACCGGGGAGGAGAGGCCCCAACCGTGGGGGCTGACAGTCCATGTGGGAGACAAACGGATAGAAAGATGCACAAACAAGTGCTCACTGTCACTTGGGGAGACAGCGTCCATTCAACGAATACTGACGGCGCTCCCAGTCCCTGCCAGGCCATGGCACCGTCCCACATCAGCGAACAAAACCCACACAAATCGCTCCCCTGGAGGAGCCCGCACCTCGCTGGCTCGCTGCCAGTTCAGGCGCTGAGCTCACCTGCCACCCGGTTCCCCGATCTTGCCCAGGCCGGGTCCTTCCCAGCAGGTCTCGGCCCAAACGCCACCTCCTCCAGGAAGCCCACCTGGACCACCGCCAGCCGAGCCACCCTCACACCAACCCCGTTTTATCTTCTTCTCTGCAAACATTGTCTTGTGTGTGGACTGGTGTGTCCGATCTCTGTCCCCCGCCAGATGGGACTCGGGGAGGGAGGCCTTGTCGGATGTGCTCCCCGCCCTGCCCGGTGCCCGGCACAGGAGCGTAGGATGGCACGACTCGAGGCCGAGGAGGACCTCGCGGGGCGCTACTCACTCAGCCGGGACCCTGAGCTGA